GGACCTATGTTTGGTTTTAATAGCCGAGCATGGTATACTGCTCTGTCCCGTGGACGTGTCCGCTAGGGGGTCTAGAGGGACTTTCAGGTCCCCACCCAGTATCAGTATCCCTTCCATGAATTTAGCCAGTTTCGACAGCGTTCTGCGTAAGAAGCTGGCCTGTCCTGTGTTCGGGGTGTAATGTTAGCTCTTGTGTATACTTTCCTGGAGATCTCTCCCTTGACAAATAGGAATCTGCCGCCTGGGTCCGCCAGGTCTTCCTTCGCTTTGAACTGCAGGTTCGCCGTGAGTAGAATTTCCATTCCCGTCTTTCTCAACCTGGGGTGGTTGCTATAGTAGTTCATCGGGTAGTTTCTATCTTTAAGCAGCCGGTTTGCATCTACCTTCAGGTGGGTTTCCTGAAGAAGAGCAATGGAGACATGCTGTCTCTTGAGGTCTCTCAGGAGGCGCGCTCTCTTCTCTGGGGCATTTAGACCCCTGCAGTTTTGCGTTGTGATAATCAGTAGTGCTGGGGAGTATGCCATTTATGCGTTTTCTCTCACTGGGAGAAGTGTTCCTATAAGTGCAACGGGTGTGGAAGTTCTGTGGCTCTCTTGCTAGCTGGAGCCAGAGCGCGTCCGACTGGCAGCTGCGCAGGTGGGCTGCTACTATTTTGTGTATCATATACTTTAAAAACTGTATGTGCACTTTGTGCACTTTGTCCTTCTGTTTGCCCTTCACTTTCGACACTTAAATGAAGGACAAAAAAACAAATGTGAGGAAGGCTGAACTTGATGGACTTGATGGACGCAAGTCTCTTTTCAGCTATGTAACTATGTAACTATGACTTGCAGGCATTGCTTTCCGTTAGGCTGAATTCCAGCAGGAGGTACCATTTTAGACTAGTTTGACTTCTTCCTGGGGTTGCCTGTGCACCACTCCCCACTTCCACTACGCTCAACAGAAAGGTTGATGTGCCTGCTTAGGAACTTCACCTAGCTCTCGACAGCTGATCGGTCTCAGCCAATCAACTAAGTCCTGCACTGCCGAACTTAGCTCAGATGTAATGCTTCCAGCATTCATAGAACAGAGACCAGCGGACGCCAGGTGGCAAGTCAAACCATTGGCATTCCTTGTGCAATAACCCTGTAAGTAAGAACATGAGAGACAAAAACTATTTTCTTTTATTTATAGAAAAAAACCTTATATATAAAAACCTTTAATATAAAAGGAAAAAAATCTTCATGAACAATTTTATTCATTAAATTCTAATTTGTAGCAAATTAAAGTCTAATGGTAAAATGTGGGCATTATGGAAGTGCTGTTCACTGGGTCTTCAGGGATAAGAGGCTGAACCCTGGTTTGCCTCGTGTATGCAGTGGGCCGCTTTCATCCCTAAGCTAGAGAGTTGGGTCAGAGCCATGTTCACTAAAGGGGGTACCCAGGCTGACAACTCAGAAAGATGTACTGTTGCTGGGCCTTCAACAATAAGAGGCTGACCCTGGCTGGGCCTGATGTAAGCAGTGGAACGCTGTCGTCCCCTGAGGGACTGAGTTAGGTTAGATCTGGATTAACCCTGCAGTGTAAACATAGCAGTGTCTCTGAAACTGCTATGTTTTCAGCTGCAGGGTTAAAACTAGGGGGACCTGGCACCCAGACCACTTCATTGAGCTGAAGTGGTTTGGGTGCCTATAGTGGTCCTTTAATTTGTACCAAGCATATATATATATATATATATATATATATATATAAAAGAAACCAAGTGAGTGCAGCCCTCTTGGTTTCTTTTATATATTTGGGAGTCCAGACCAACTCCTTGATTTTGCACCCCTCCCTGTCACAGGTGCCTCATTCCAGGATCCTATTTAGCCATGACTTGCAGAGAGTCCCAGTAAGGCACTTTCTGAGATCCATACAAACCTGTAGACATGGGGTGTCAGAGCAAGAAGTACAAACCCGACCGACCCCCATCAACGGCAGATATTGGCGACATACTGTGGAGGCCGCAAAACACAGAGTCCTGAAATGGCGCCAATGTCTGACGGACCCTCAAGCACATCTAGTGAGGAGACCTCAAACCCTCCACCTCCCTACCAAACCCCCCTCCCCTCCTGGATCCTAGCAGTCCTCATAGCGTATTAATCACTAACAGGGGTTAGTAGCCCTCTGTAGCCCTCAAAGAGGTTCCATACTCCTACCACTTTACGCTATACTTAGAGGCATATGTTGCCCCATGCCCTCATGCAACATTATCTATTACAATCTCTCATCTCCTTAGGGCATGAGATGCCCAATGCTCAACCTACAATACCATGTTCAGTTAACTCCATTAAAATTCACAGTCCCACTATATAGGTTTATTCTATGTATGTGCAATGCTGCAATATGATTACTGGTTATTTCTTCATATTCCAACTGAAGTATTGTATACCTTTTGTATCTAACTGTGAATAAAAAACAAAGATTGAAAAAAAATCTTTAAATAATATTTGTTTTATTGTTTGTTTGTTCTTTCATGTTTTTATTTTATTTTTATTTTTACAGTGACAATTTAAATAAAATTACATTAATTGTTTTACATGGTTTGGGATAGAAACATTGTTAGACATATTCAAAGACAAATAGTTTTAACTACCCAAACTTAAACCAAAGATAATCATCTATAGTTCATAATGTCTGCTGTGGGACTTCTATAGAGTGAAAACATGTATTTATTATGATGCCCTACGTGAATATGTCCTTTACTAATTTTGACTGACAGCCTATCTACTTCACAATAGTGATGTACCGAACGGTTCGCCGGCGAACGGTTCCTGGCGAACATAGCATGTTCGCGTTCGCCACGGCGTGCGAACATATGCGCGGTTCGACCCGCCCCCTATTCGTCATCATTGAGTAAACTTTGACCCTGTACCTCACAGTCAGCAGACACATTCC